ATGGCATTAATCGCCTAATACACGTGTGGCCTACCGACGCTTGTCGCGAATGGTCTCACTATATATATATATATATATTACCTATATTCTTACACGTGTGTTTTCTCGCATAATTAGGCTTCGCTTTACGGTTGATTTAACGATTGTTTATAACCTGTCAAGGAAAAAGCATAGTTTTCGGACAATTTTACAAGTGTCTTAAAGCGATCTAGAGTGTTACTTTGTTAAATTATTATTTTATTTAGAAATGGCACGCAAGAATTCTCGGCGTGTCATTTCTCGCTTCTGACGTCACGAATCTAATATGGCTGCGGTGACTACCCAGGAGCCTTAACCGAATATTCACAGTTGACTTTGACATAAGGTGGAATGCAATCGGGACGTGTTTTTATTTCCAGCACAGCATGCGTAATTTGATCTCACGTTGACACGAGATAGCGATAGTATTCATAAAAGCTTATTTCGCGAATCGTGCCTGGCATGCGGTTCGCGCGATACGAACGGTGCACACTTCGCGGATACGTGTTATCTGCGATTACGTGTTTTGCGTGTCCTCCACCAGCAAAACGATTCCACCGGAATTTACACAACGCTCGTTCGTCGACCTGGTCGTTTTACGATCGTCGGAATGAGCCTGCCGTGATTTCTCGCGGATTCGATAAGACTCGACCTATGCCGGTGAACGACGCGACAATTTCTTGAGACCAGGTGCTATTCTCGTACGTTTTATTTCCGGAGACACAGTCGCGTCGTAAACCGTCGACTACGGAATGTGACATCACACTTTCGCAATATGCTAAGGTGGCAACGGTGAATAACTGACCCATTGCAGATAATTGAACGTAGCGTGAATTTTCTGTCGCGAGTCAAGTAAGGACAATTTCCATTGACCAAAAAAATCCAACTTGTCATTGTTATAAAGAACGTAGCAACTTTATAAGCAGCATGAAAATTCGACTAAAATAAACCGCGTGATAACACCATAACGGAGTAATATTAATTATAATAATTACAGTAGCTAATAGAGATGTGTTCAAAAGTAACGAAAGCCGTAAACCACCGAAGAGCCCTTGTTATTAAGCACAAGTCAGCCTATATCGCCGACGGTTTATCATACAGTGTGTCATTAAAATTATGATTATGAAGGTAGCCCTTAATCTCAGGGTGACTTCCAAAACGATCTCTCTCGCCTTTACGGGACGTGGGTGGTAGTGCAGCGGGAAAGAGGGAAAACGCACTTTCCAGGAATGTCGGTCATAAAGGTAGGTTACTACCGAGACGCTACGACTACTTCGCCTGCATGAAACTGCTCTCGTGGCTCATTCGTATCCTCCCTTCTTTCCCTACGCACCGTATATATAACTTCTCACGTGTATACGTGCGGCGTGTCCTGCGACCGTCCAGCGCGCAGAACGTACCTATTAAAGTTTGACGTCGTGCCTGCGCGCATACACGATGAACCGACCATATTCGGGGAACATAAACCGGAAACGATGACGAGTCGACTAGAGGAAGGAGCTATACGCTCCGTAAATTAACCAATTAGGTACTTCGCAAAAGCGTACACTTTGTAATTAAAAATATTATCTCAGGTCGTTTTGAAAATGCTCTAATATACATTTGCTAGTAAAGAGTATATAATTCATCAGCTAAAATAAACAGGTTTATTAATTTTATCAATTTTATCAAAATGGAGTTGTTTGAGCATAAAGCTCTTTTTAGCATAGAGTTTATTTAAAACTGAAGATTTTCTCGTTTAGCGGCGTTTCTGAAGCGTATTACTAGATCCGCAACAAATAAAACCACGGGACAAATAAATCTATTTTTTCGCTTAGAAATGGATTGTCGTCGCGGTGCGTTCTGCGCCAAAATCCCTCATCATCGATTTCCATTCTTCGCAACTAACAACTTTGCAGCGCTCTTGGTACGGGCGAGCGCTACAACCGTCGCGAAACGAACAAACGAACGAACGAACAAACTGTTTAGCTACAAAGGGCGAGAAACGGAAGCCTGCACTCGCACATTCTGTAGCAATTTTGCGAAGTTGCGGCCCAGGTACACAAACCCGACGTTCCGGACTGTACGGGCAGATTAGATTTGGCTTAAGAGTGGATGAACTGTCTCCCGCGATAAAAGCAGGCAATTCCGCGACGCTCGCTAACTTCGACACGACTTGGGCGCTCGGAAAATAATCAGCCGCGGGGAATTTGAGCTAGTGGTCGTGTCGGCGGGTCGCGACATAGACAAACCTTCTCTTGCTTCTGAGGAGCTGTTACCCATGGCAGCCCGGCGAGAACGGATCGTCTTTGTTTTTGATGGAAATCGCAAGATTGGTATCGTCGCTCGACTGCCACCCGGTATTGCGCTTCATGGCGACGTCACCGCCGTAGTGGTCGTCGCCTTTTATTTCGAGGGAAATTAACGACGACCGCCGAGTAATTGTCGGGCGTTAAGCTCCCGCGGAACGTAATTACGCGGGGACAAAGAGCGGTGCACGAAGTAAATACGAAAACGCGGCCGCGGGACGAATTTGTCGCGGCGCTTTCTGAGACGACGAAACTTCTTCGGAACTCTGTCGTTGGCTGTTGTTCCCGTTTGTGTGGATCTTGAAGTTTTCTAACTGGCGAAAGAGCGTCTTCTCACAACGAGCCCGGCCGGACAATTAATAATTTAAATGATAGCAGTGTCGACACAGCCGCAAGAAATACGATAATGTAATTCCTAAATAAGTACATATAAACATCGTTATACAAAAAAATTATTCTTTTATTGATAAATTTTGACAAAAATTTTTTCTTGAATAGAATGTGTAAAAACTAGAATAAAACAACATAAAATCTACCCAATTGGTTGATTCCAAACTAAAAAATTATTTTGGATGTTACTTTTTATGTTATAATAAAACAGTACAATAAAATTAACATGTTATTTTACTCTGTCCTCACCAAAAAAATTTTGCCAACTTTTTAGAATTTTATATAAATGTGATAGTATTTTCAAAAAACCGCGATAACTATAATAAATAACACAGGTCGATATTTTTAGACTTTTTGTCTGCTGTTTAAATATAATATACCATTTTCGATGTATTTTTTTACGTTGAACACAAATCCGGCCACAAAATTGTTCTATCACTTCAGGTTTTTGAGAAAAGTGTGGTTAAAAATGTCAAAAGTGACGTTTTTTAACATTTTTATAATTTTTTCGCTGGTAAAGTAAATTTTATTTTTTACTTTCGTTCACGCTATCTTAAAGTGGCAACTTTTACCTTTAAACTCGATTTTTTTTACACTCCATACGATTTTTTTTCGCCGAATTAACCTCTCCGCTGTTAAGTGAAGAAATGTGTTAACCTCTCCGCTGTGTTTGTATCAGTAAGGTACAGCTAACTTTTGCTCGTATAAAGTGCATTATACACAGAAGATTTAAAATGCTAGAATATCATTTGGGGAAGCGAAATAATCCACCCAGACGTAAAAAAACAGTATATACAAAATTTTATTAATATTAAAATATTTTTACAAATTTTGGTCCATTATATTGGATCGGCTATTTTAAATTTTGAAAATCTTATTTCAGATTCGAATTCAGTGACCTCAAAACTCTTCATATTGAAAAATCATCATCCAGTTCTGAAATTTTGTTTTCCAACTACATTTTTGGCACAAAATGTTCATCTTCGTCTGACAGTGGAGAGGTTAACTCAGCGAAAAAAAATCGTACGGAGTTTCAAAAAATCGAGTTTAAAGATAAAAGTTGGTACTTTAAGATGACGTAAACAAAAATAAAAAATAAAATTTACTTTATTAGCGAAAAAATCATAAATATGCCAAAAAACGTCAATTTTGACACTTTTAACTTCACTTTTTCTCAAAAACCTGACGTAATAGAACAATTTCGTGACAAGATTTGTGTTCAGCGTGAAAAAATACATCGAAAATGGTATATTATATTTAAACAGCAAAAACCATGTCGGCCAGTGTAATTTTAATGAAAAATTTTAAATATTAAACGGTTATATTTGAAGTTTTTTTGCTGCTAAATCTACTTTTGTACGTAATTTTGCTGATTAGCTCAAAAATATGCAGATAACGGAGGATCAATTGTGGTGATTACTTTGTGGGAGTATGCCCATTGCCAGTAGCTTTCGACGAGAATTAAGCGTCGTGGTACCGTAATTACGGCGAGAGCAAAGTGCGAGATACGTGCGGTGTGCGCGTCGAAGCAAACACAAAGATATAATGGCATGAATTTGTCGCGAACCGGCACGAGCGCGTCGTTGCATCTGTTATCGGCGGCCATTGCAACAGTCGCGCGCCGACTACAGGTGGGACCCGTGGCTGCAATTTAAAAGTCCATTTGTTCCTGGATAATGTCAGGAAACGCCGACGCCACCGGTACGTGAATTTTATCCGAAAAATATTGAAACTGAAAATTGTATACGAGTTCGAGCACGTAACAAAAAGCGTGATAAGTGCAAAGTTCATGCAAGAAGGCCATAAAAAAAAAATAGAGATAAACAAGTCGACATTTCTTAAAATATTCTCAAGACCTCAATGACATCATTAAACTAACAAAAAATAGAAATTATATGTGTTAATTTATACTTATTCATACACTGGAAAAAAAGTTTTGTTGTATTATAAGAAATTCTGGTTGATTCTACTAGTACGTTTGTTCAAAAATGGACGAAACAAATTTGTTGTTGGAATTACCAGAAGATTCTGTTAAATTTCATCCTGTTTAAATCTATCAGAATTTCTTGTAAACCTTACTACATCGTGTTGTTAGATTTACAAAACTCTACCAGAATTTCTTGTAAACCTTACCACATTGTGTTGTTAGATTTACAAAACTCTACCAGAATTTCTTGTTAACTTTACTATATCGTTTTGTTAGGTTAACACAACTTTGTAGTTAAAAAACAAGTTCGGATAGGTGTGGTTTTTGTAAAATACTAACAATATATTTTGGTTTAAAGTATACTCAGTGATGTGATGTTTCCTACCGGGCTCCCGGCTCCCGAGCCCGGTAGGAAACATTACATCACTGGTATACATATATTTCATTAAAAAAAAAACAACCACGTGATCATAAAACTTTTCGGATGTAAGGCTGATGGCAGAGACCGAGACGTAAAAACTTATGTATGTCGTAGTCGTTTCCACACATATCCAATAACCTTTCACGACTTACGTTTTTCTCTGCCTTACTACGTCCACGACAGACGTCTACGACAGACATAAGTGCTTACTTCTCGTTCTCTGCCATCGGCCTAACTAATATTCCGTAATGGATTCCACGACGCGACGTAAAACTTTAGCGAGCTCAGTTGAGACTGTTCCGACTGCTTAACGCCATTGCTTCGCGAAAGATCTAATGCGCGCGATACACGCCGCGAGTAACGAGGGCGCAGTAGCAGTGTAACAAATGAATGCGGCGAACAGTTGATCAACCGTTTAGTGAGTAATGACGAAACTGTTGCAGAGCGCTGCGATTTATGTAAATATAACAAGAAGTTTTGTAGATCCAACAAGAAAACACTTATTCAAATCCTTATAGTAAAGTTAACCAAACGGTGTTGATATAAGGTGTAAAATTTTGTGACGATAACCAGAAATTCTGTTTCGTTCGACTAAAATACGGTCAACCAGAAGAATTTTGTTAATATAATAAAACCATTTTTCTCAGTGTATTTATACTTATATAAACTTCATGTTTATATTATAATATAAAAAACGTAAAAAATTAAAATTGTTTATGCTTTTTTGATGATTATTTATATTTTGCAATGCACTAATTATTCTCAAATACTCTTTACTCAAAAAACAATTAAAGTATTTGAGAGATAAGACTTATTTTAATTTACAATTAGTCAGTTTTGTTACATTATAAAAATATCATGATTATAATCTTAATATTTATGCAGACAAAAAAGGTTCTTACTAATCAAGAAGCTACCGCGCTAAGCTCGTAAAATGTGGGTCGCGCTACAATTAAGTAAAAGAGCAAAGTTCTAAGAAGAGAGAATGCGGGTAATGCAAGAAATGAGCACACCAATCAACTTACAGTTACAGTTGTGATCGTCAGTGGCTGAAAGATACGCTTTGTCTCCTGCTAATATATTAAATTAAATCTGATGTTAACACTTCGCTGCGTAGTATAATATACAACAAGAAATGCTCAAAGCTGAATCATTAACCATAGTTTCTAAAAATAATGTATGTTAATTATCAAAAAAAAAATATTGCATCATCGACCGAGAAAAAGTTAACCGGATTTCCAGAACAGCTGTGCTCTAATTGTGTAACGCATATAAACGAAAGTCATGATATGACGGTGTAATATATTTTACGCATTGCTGAATATGTAGATACTTTAGATTACCTTTCCATTAATAATTCGTGCATGTTTTATCCAGTTTCTAAATATTTTTCCATGATGCGTATACATCAATATTTAGATACACAAATTTAAAATCGCGCGATCACATGCGCCCATATCGATCAGAAGGATGTTTTTTCTAATATCCGCAGACGTATTCGTTATACGTGATATATTTATTTTTTCAGCGAGGAACCGTAGTTGATATTAAATTAAATACACATTTGTACAATTTTGCAATTCCAGAAACTGATCCCGGCGAAATCCATAGCAATCCGGGAAAAACTCCGATTGACGTTCTCTGTGCTTTCAACTGTTCAGCATCGTGATATCATCATACCGCCACCACCAATTTTTACAATAAATAAACAATTTCTCTCAAAAACAAATTTTTTTCAATTTGCTTGACATTTATAACTAATAATAATGATAATTAACTTATACGGCTTTTCAAGCATTTTAAAAAAAATTTTTTTATGTAAAACATATAATATGTAGAAAGTTTTATGGTAAAATAGTATCGGTTTATGGTAAAGTTAGATAATCTTACGTTTATGATAAAGCAATAGTTAATCCAAAAAATGTTTTGATTCCATAACCACCACCATCAGTATAAAGTAGCCTATCAATAGTTCTTTACGACTGTTGCGTCACTATTCTCATCGTTCTGTGAGGCGTTCAAAGTGGTTCGCGTAGATGCTTGCGCATGTGCGGTTATTTATGCGACCTTCATCAGACTAGTCTAATGAAACGACTCCATATGTGTGTCTTATTTGTAAGAACGAAGTAACGGCCAGTGTTGTACATATTCATCCTTTCAAAGTCGCGCTCATTACTCTTCGCTCGTGACGTCAAATATAAAAAAAAACATTATTCATTGATCTCGATGCATGCGATTAAGTGTTCTTCGGCAATTATCAGCAATCAGACGCAAGAATTCATAAATTTTCTTTATGAATTGTGCTTATCGTGACTTCGCGTCTTTGGACTGACTCAAGTTGAAGTTTCAGTGTTAAAAAAAAAAAAACTTTATATTTATATAAAATAAATGCAAAAATTACAAATATAAATCTGTACATTCTACAATAGCATTTAATTGTCGTACATTCGTTAATATCACTGAATCCAATTATTACATGTGGCTGGATGTGAAATGTGTTTTTACTGGACAAAACCCGGCAACAGCGTTTGTTCATGCCTGTTCTGTGCATTCTCGATTCTAGCCTTGATGGTATTTCAGTTTTATGGATCGGCGAATCTAACCGCGTAGCAGCAAGTAGAAATCGCTAAGTTGGCAGATGACGGCTTTCCATGCGCAAACATCCCGCGAGATAAACGCGGAAGAGCTTGATGGAATTTGCGCGTCCGTGAACGCTCTGATTTGCATGTATTTCATAGTACACGTAAAACAGATGGAAAGACGTGTTTTGAAATTATGATTTAAATAACGAATCGCAAGAGTTAAACGACCGTGACTGCTGAAACGTGACCTCACTATTTTCGTGGTAAAAAAATTCTCAAATAGCATTAAAAATAATATATTGAAGCGACTGTGACTGCTAAAATGTGAATTTCCTATTTTGCATTTCATAAAAACAGGCTAACACGAAGAAAACATAACGCTAATTCAATAACAAATGTTGGCATTACTATATTCCATTCATTGCTCACTTGTGCAATCGCAATTTTTATATGTTGTTTTATTTTAACAAAATACTTTACTAAATTGTGTTATTAATCCAAATTATATTATTTTTTTATAATTTGTAATGTATTTATATTATGAAACAGTTTAAGAAGCACGATACTTCAATACCAAAAAAATTGATATCTAAAACAAGAATAGCTGAGCGGTATAAGTTGCTTGCACAGATCGGAATTCTTCGCTATTGCATTGCGCATGTCCAAGATACAATCACTGATCATTTAATATTAATGACACGTACATAGTAAAGATAAATATGTAAAGAATGATTCATAATGCATAAATTTAACTTCATAAAGAGATGTAAGAAGAATATAAGTATCTACAATGCAGAAGGTCAGTGTATGCACATTTACTAGATAATTTAATAATATATATAATATATATTATTATTATATGAATATAAGATTTATTTATTCTTCAAACAATATTTTTAATTTAGAGTCTAATCTTACGAGTAATGTTTGCAATTGAAAGGAAATGAAGACTCTTTCTTAACGAAGAATAATTTGTTGTGACGTAATTTGTTGTATAAAAAGTTTTAAAAAAAGCAGGCGGCAAACTATTATTACGATGTTCTTGATCTCGCAAACTGTGATCATTCAACTTTACACTCTTTTTTTAAAACCTTGATTATAATCTCAACGCCTTATAGCTATAATGTCTAGCTATTTTATTGTGTTTGCCTAGCTTCTCTTTCTTTTGAGAAAATTTGTCATTAATTGTACGTTCGATATCACGACAACGTTGTGTACACGATGATATGGCTGTAGCGAATTACCGTGGATGTCACATTGCCATTTTGCTTCCTCGCTGACAGAAACCACCTTCACACCCGGAAATTATGTGGCATGAATTCAGTGCCTTAGCGTTCGACAGCCTGTCTGAGTACATTTTCCGGTGCGACACGTTAGACGCCGAAGTCTCACGGAAGCACAATCTCTGACGTTTTAAGATCGTATATTACCGTGTTACACATACGGGAGTTACATATGACATTTTCCGTGTCACGTAAATCGCCATGACAAAATGTGAATTTAATTATTTTGCCTCCACTTATAAATTATAGCAAAATTCATAAAAAATGTTTTATTATTCATGATATTTTTTAATAAAAAACAGAATCATTTAAAACAAATGTTTATAAAGTACATTAACATAGATGACTATGAGAAAATAATTATTCAAATATGCCTGGTTTTTATAAGTTCTTAATAATTCAATTGGTATTGACGTCTGTAATATGTGAGTCATTAATGTTATAAAGTTTTATAAAAAGAATGTAGTTTGCTATAATTGATATTAATAAGCACATGCATTATTATTTTATTGATATTCTTATTATTTTAAATATACTCATTTATCCATTAATAGAAATTATATTATATAAGACCTTTTCAACAATAGTTATTAGCAAAAATATTCATTTTTCTTTAAATTACTCTCTTGTACGAAATCAATCCGAAGTATATCTGATACTTTAATTTTGAAGTATTATTCACGGCGAATAAAATGGCAATTAGTCGCAGTAATTTGTTAAGGGGGTTATCGTGGTACAATGCGCCTCAAAAATACAGTGCCGCGAGCTGCGCGCGCCTGGTTCCCATTGCGTACTTCTCACTCTTCTTCCGAAGCTTAGTTTTTGTAACTGACTGTCTGTGCAAAAGCGCTAGTGTTTCGTCTGTGTATACACACACTATCAATTGCGTAAAAAAATAGTGATCCGGCAACAACGCACTTTTAGTTGTTCACTTTTAGTTTTTCAAAGAAAGATTTATGTATTAAGATAATTTATTTTTAATTAAATTGTTTACGTACGTATATATTATATATATATATAAATAAAAA